TTCGTTGTAAGACCTGACCGATATCCTTATAAGACCCCAGCAGCTGTCGTTTACAATGCAAATGACAGAGTGTGAATGGAAAGGGAGAGCAGAAACTGCTAATTAATAAAAAGGATGCATGATGACCTTGATCAAGACACAATAAATAACACTATGCATGATTTATTGAGTGATCGCGCACTTGATCACTTGCATGATCGAATGTGCAAATGCCCTATATATTATAGAACACATTATCTGTCATCCCATTAGATGAATACGACAACACCTTAATAATCACTCAAAATATTTCTTAAAAATACCTGTTCAGCTATGAAATTATCGTGTATCGATGTGGGCACTAGGGCATCAAAACCAGTTGCTTGCCTTCTGCTCTGCATTCAATAGCTCCGTTCGTTCTCAATTCCACATCGTTTCATTGCACTTCTAACAACCTCAGCAAATCGTCCGTCCATCCTCCATGAATGAAGATGCCTGAGATGAGGTTTTAATAAAAGTCACAAATGTTTAAGCGATTTAACGTTTGTGACTGCAATGAAAATGAAAATTTTTTGTGCAATAAATGAAATGTTTTGGCTAATATCGTAAACGACTGCAGATAATCAAACAGCATCAGCACTTGATCAAAGCAGCATCTGAACGATCAACTACATCCAAAGATCTAAAACCCTAATCAATACATCACAAGTAAGGGAACAATGAAATCGAATGGCTAAACCTAACCGGGCCAGCTAAATTTAACTGGAATTTTAAAATTTTTACCACCTAATCATAGAAAGCTATAGTGATGACAGCTCTGGCACGTTGTTTGCTACCTCCTGTAATTAGGAGATAAAATATTTTACGGTTAATAATAATAATAACGATTCCAAGAAGAAGAAGAATCTGACGAAGTAACATCAGCTGCAGGCACAGATACTGAATACCAGCTGAATACACTCGTGAATGTAGAAAGGCAGGCCTCATGGTCTACTGGACCTCATAGGAATAGAATTCCAACGTGCTGCTGCAGCAAAACCATCTGATAAAACCAATAAAAAATTTCAACAGCACTTCAACGACCAACCAGCGCCTCAAATACACTAAACACTGACTAACCAGCACCAACAAAAAACAAAAAATACTTGGGATGCCTCGCAAATGCCTCGTTGATCGTGGTTTTGATCTAAATTTTTCGTTTGGTTTTGATCTATCTGCTCGCTATGTTTTATATTCTGGTAGATAGAATTGCGGCAATAGAGCGCCAATATTGATTGATCACACAGCACAGCAAAACCACTTGATCTACTTGCTATTTTCATATATTCTGATTGAATGTTCAATTTCAACTGATCTCTACATGTTGCTACAGTTTGCTAATTGATCTGAACTGATCAAAACTGATCAGAACTGATCTGGAGGCAAGAAAATTTTTTAAAAATCTAAATTTTTAGGTTTTTACTCACAAATACAGATTCAATTTGCTCCAAATTAATAGTCAAACTGCTTCGGAATAGAGATTATTTCGATAGATTAATTTAATGGGAAAGAATTTTGATTGGTCTGATGTAATAATAATAATTATACTATTTAAACTTAATTGCTAAACTTACACTTAATTAATTTATAGAGTGATTATAGAGTTATGGTCACACCACAATGATCACAATTTATCACACAATAATTATTCTATCGTTATATAGATCAATTTGAATTTATTGTGTAATAATATGGAGTACTTTAGAAGAAAATACACTCTATTGGAGAGAGGATCGATGGAAATATAAAATGGGGGAATTTTAAATTGAATAATTGGATAAATTTAAAGCTTTGACATCGATAAGATGCGAAAACTGCCCATCTAAACATCTAC